ATTGGCTGTCTCTTATGGGGTGGGTCTTAAATTGGGCCAGTCATTGGTTAACCTTTCCCTCAGTTTCTGCTTCATCTTTATCCCTGCACTTCTTGTGGTCAGGACAAATTGTAGGTTGAAGTTTTTGTGGCTAGGTTGGTGTCCCAATCCATTCATTGGAAGTCTTTCCTGGTTATTGGAGATGGCCGTTTTAGGTTCTATATTCCCCATTGCTAGGAGTCTTAGCTAGGGTCAGCCTCATAGATTCCTAGGAATTTCTGTTGTCCTAGTTTTCTAGCTCATAATTGTAGGCCTGGTACCATCTTTTGTTGGTTAGCTGTTTTTGTGGGTTTAAGCTAGGATCTTATGGTCTAAACTGAACCAGAACACCTGATCCTCTTGCCTCTACCTCCTGAGTACTGGTTTTGTATATGTGTACTACCATGCTTCCCTTCAGAAACCTTTAAAAAAGTCAACATGGAGACCAGAGTGTAGACTGTCTGGGATGCATGAGGCCTGCATTTGATTTAAAAGCAGCTCATAAATGGGGCATACATACGTGTAATCCCAGAACTGGGGAGGTAAAGGTAGGAGGATCAGGAGTTGAGTGTTATCCTCATGCTGTATAGCAAATTGAAGGCTATCCTGGGCTACATGAGGCCCTGCCTAAAACAAACAAAACATCAGCACAGGTGTGCATGTGTAAAGCTTTATTCTTAAAACATCATTATGTCATTGGCTTTGCCCGTTAGGGTAGAATTTTTGTAGCTTGTTACTGCAGAGAAGGAACTTGCTTCTTTTTTGGTGGACATATTCCAGTTTACCCAGTCTCTAGTGTGAGAAGTCACATTGTACTCTTGAGAGGCACTAATCATAAAGATACCGACATACATATCATGTTTCATTTCCTGTATAGTTCTCAATATGTTTTCTGTACTCTAGGGTATTTGCTCAGTATTGGCCTCTTGTTACTATAGAATCTTTACCACTTTTCTGTAATAAAATACAGTAAAAAAAGTTAGCATTCTAAGATGTTATTGAAAACAAACATCTAGAGTATTCTTTCTACTCCTCTTCAATCAGATCCTTCCAAATAGTGGTTCTGGGATGGACTTAGTGCTGACATGGGATCCATGACCAAGGCCAGAAAGGACCTGGAAGCCTCACACATGCAATTTGCCACCACTCTTGTGAGCATTAAGTGGCAAACCCTTTCGTCCTTAAAAATCACCCAGACTTACTATCCTATAATTTCCTCATCAAGAAAAATAGCTCACTATGTGGCATGGGCAAGGGAGAGATGCACCCCACCCCACCTCTTGCCATCTGTGGCAGACAGGAGAGCTGGCCTCAGAGTCATGAGAGTGGGAGAGCTGACACTGTCCTTCGCCGGCTGCAGCACTCAGGAGAGCCGGCCCTGCACCTTACCTGGGCAGCACACTAGATCTGCGGGCATGGTCAAGGGTGAGCCGGCCCTGCCCCTTGCAGGCTGCATCATGGGATGAGCTAGCTGGAGCAGAGCTTGCCCTGGTGGTATGCATGCAGGAGAGTTGGCAGGCAGAGCCGTTCAGCTCCCACCCAGGCCCAGATCTGGCCCAGCCCAACATCTACCCCATGAGTGAACTGCTGGAGCACTTGAAGGGGCCACAGATCCAAAGCTGCAGGATTTTCATAACACAGGGCAACAACAGGATATCTAAGAGGAGTCCCGGTGAGGATCCAGTATTGATAGAGTAGCAGAAGCCAGAGGCCTCAAACCGCACCAATGACTCATTGCAATGAATATTTGTAAGCAAAGAAGCGTGGACAAAGGCGTGTACTCTGGAACACACTGTGACACCTTGTAGCTTCCACAATGAGATTTTTTTTTTTCCTGAGGAGGTTGCAAGGGTGGAGAGTGGGGACAAAGGGACTGGAGATGAGTGGGATTGGGGTGCATGATATAAAATTCACAACGAGTCCATAAAAAGTTAAATAATAATAAAAACGGTAGCTCACGGTACTGGTTTATGCTTTATTAGAAGCTCTGAGTCACATTTAAGACATTTGAGTGCATGTTCGGAGCTTCCAGCAAGAGAGCAAAGCTGTTTTATGCTCTTGACCAAAGAGAAACTGTTTTTCTCTATTCGAGTGCACAGCTTTAGGCAGGATGTACATGGAGTCGTAAAGAAGAAAGGGACACCTACCTAGGCAGCCAGACCAGCTGACTCAGTCCCAGTGAAGCACGGGGTGAGAAATGTCAACGCCTCATTGCTCCCATAGCTGTCCTGTATGCACCTTTACTTTCAGCAGTCAGGAGGCAGAAGCAGGTAGATTTCGGAGTTTCAGGTCAGCCTGGTCAACATAGTAAGTTCCAGGCCAGTCAGGGCTACACAGCAAGACCCTGTCTCAAAAAGCAAAACCCAAATGATCAAACAAATAAATAAGGGACTCCTCTGGAAACCTGAAGGTAGTTTTTTAGTTAAAGGAATACTTCCTGCCCCCAGAGGTGCTGCAGGCGTGGCTGTGTCACATGCCCATCAGCAGGTGGCAGAGAGGCGAGGCAGTATCTACTTGGTGTTCTGACCTATGACCATCTGAATGACTATTAGCCTAACATTCCCTGAAAAGAAGTGAGCCTGAGATGACCACCAATCTGGCACCAGGGGGCCCTGATGGCTCCCAAGACCAGGAACAGGCCAGAGACTAGAAGACTGGGACTGAGGACCTCTGGCAGGAGTAAGCCTGAGACAGAAGAGCCTTGCATGGGGCCCACTCGGGCAGGCCAGGTGAGGAGCAAACCTGAGATGACCACCAGACAGGTGCCATGGGGCCTGGACAGGGAGCTAGCCTGACATGACCAACAGTCGGGTGCGGTGCAGGCCTGGGGGTGGGGTGGGGGAGACCATGCCCAAGATGACCCCTGCCCAGTGCCATAACCCACAAGCAGGCCTTAGCACTCCTGAGACCACTCTTGTGACAACACCAGGCACTCAGAGACCCTGGGCACCACTAAGAGGAGCAAGTAATTGGTGGAGAAATGGGAGAGAGAAAGAGAAAGACAGAAAGATGTGGACATAGTACAGGGAGGCAGACTTAAGGATAGTGATGAACAGTGTGATGTGAGTAGCCAGTGATGGCACCTGGGGCCGTGGTGGGATCCTGGCCTGTGCAACTTCCAGGGACCACATTTGGGGGTGAGCCTGTGGCCTGTGGCCCTGCAAGAGCAGGGATTTGTTCCCAAAGGCCAGGCAGTTGTCCTTGGTCTGGGCTGCTGCCTAGAGTCATTTGCGGAACTGGCTCCACCCCTCACCTTGGTATAGTGGGAGAGCTGGCCCTAGGGGCATGAGAGCTAGAGAGCTGACCTTGCCTCTAGCCAGCCTGCTGCTCCGCCACTGGTCTGCCACACTGTGACATAAAAAATGGGAGTGGCTGACTGCCCCCTCTCCCCCATCCATGTCCCTCACCCCTTGCCACCTACTGCAGGCAGGATAGCTGGCCTCTGGTTCATGAGAGTGGGAGAACTGTCCGTGTCCCTCAACTGCTGCAACACTCGGGAGAACGGGCCCTGCATTTCGCCTGGGCAGCAGGATAGAGTTGGTCCTGGTATCAGGAGTTGCTGGTGAGCTGGTCCCCTGGTGGGCTGACCAGCTCAGCTGCCTCTTAGGCACAGATCCAGGGCTTTGAATTGCCCCACCCCAATATCTGTCCTGAAGTGCATGAAGGAACCAGTCCTACAGATCCATTAGTCCTACAGGATCTCAGGGCAACTACAGGGGAATTGAGAGGAGTCCCAGAGAGGTTCCAGTATTGGTAGAGTAGCCTGAGACCTAGTCCCAGATCAATGAGTCACTGCAGTGAACATTTGCAAGCAAAGAAGTGTGGACAAAAGGGCACACTGTGGGACACACTGACATACTACAGCCTCCACTACAAGATTTTTTTGTTGTTGTTGGGAGGATGTTACAAGGGTGGATGGTGGGTATTAAGGGGAGGGGGAGATGAATGGGGTTAGGGCACATGGTGTGAAATTCACAAACAACCAATAAAATAAAGAGGAAATAACATTTTGAATTGTTGCTAGTATTTGGATGTTCCTATAACCTTTGATGCTACTTAAGGTGGTTATCATGACTGCTCTTGGACGTACAGTGAGGCCACATATCCTGCTCTGTTTTCTGTTGCTATGGTAAACCCTGACCAAAAGCAGCTTGGGAAAGATTGGGTTTATCTGCCTTACATTTCCTAAATACAGTTCATTAGGAGAGTCAAGCCAGGAGCTCAAGGAAGACCTTGACTCAGAGTCTGGAGGAACACTACTTATTGGGTGGCTCTCCAAGGCTTGCTCAGCTTGCTATCTTATACAACCCAGCGCTACCTGCTCTGGGATGGGGTGGTGCTGTCCGTTGCTCTCAGGGGTTAGAGGTTTGGCTTAGTGATTAAGAGCACTTGTTACTCTTCCAAAGGACCCAGGTTTGATTCCCAGCTCACAGAGGCTCACAACCATCTGTAACCTCAGTTCCAGGGTATCTAATAACTTCTTCTGGCCTTCTAGAGCACCAGGAATATATGTGGTGCACAAACATATGTGCAAGCAAAGTACCCATAAACATGAAATAAAAGTCACTAAGAATAGAAGAAAAAGAAAGCAAGAAAAGAAAGGAAGGAAAGAAAGAGAAAAAGAAAGTGCTCTCAAAGACATGCCCACAGGCCAGTTTGATAGAGGCAAATCCTCAGTCAGGTACCCTCTTTCTAGGTGGCTCTACTTGTGTCATGTTTCCAGAAACCAACGACTACATCATCAATTCACGTTTGCTCCAGCACAGGTACAGGTTCTCCAGATTTCTCCTTGTTTAAGGAAAGTATTGCTTACTGGAATTTCTGAGGAAATAGCAGTTACTAAAATAGATTGTTGTTCATTTGGAATATTTTTTTTAACCTAATGATGTGTAATTTAATTGTTTCTGGAAATTTCCATCTATCCATCCATCCATCCATTTATCAATTTATCCATTTATCCATCGATCTGTCTATTCTTTCAGACATGAAGAGCAACCAAGGCCTTTTGTGTTACATGAATGCTTGAAGGACTCACATGATGAAGTAAGATTCCTTCAGACGTGTTCCCGGGTGCTGGTGTTTTGCCTTCTCCCTTCGAAGGATATCCAGTCTCTCAGCTTACGTATAATGCTCTCAGAAATTCTCACAACAAAAGGTAGACTTAAAAAATTAATACCATTTATAAGATAAGTGTATAAACACATGTTATACATGCTGTGATTTTATTTCATATGGCATATTTGCAGATCTTATGAATTGTGGAATGTGGGTTGTAAAAAATTTTAGACATTTCACATTTAATTATCACATAAAGGCTTTGGCCATACATGATAAACTTTAAAAGTTTATGTCTATATTGCCAATGCTATTAACTTTGGTACAGGAAAGCCATTCTTCATCTATGCAAGGGAAGCATTCATTTGGAATAGTTTTTGAGTTATCCAGGCCAAAGGATATTAAGGAAAGAACTATATTAAGGAAAGAACAGCCACACAGCATACAGGCACACAAATTCTGTTAGCATTTTTTAAAAATTTTATTTATATTAGTTACAGTTCATTAACTTTGTATCCCAGATGTATCCCACTCCCTCCTTTCCTCCCAATCCCACCCTCTTCCCTCATCTCCTCCCTGCCCCTTTCCAAGTCCACTGATAGGGCAGGACTTCCTCCCCTTTCATCTGTTCTGTCTGCATTTATCTATATTTTTTCTGCAAGTTTCAATGGTAATGCTACTTTTGTGAACTTTTAATAAATGATATGTACTATATTATAGCATAATAAGAAACATTTAAGATTTATTTGGATAGCTAAATACCCAGAATAAAAAATGGAAGAGGGGCGGAGAGATGGCTCAGTGGTTAAAATGCTGTGCAAGCATGAGAAGTGGAGTTTGTGAAAGCCAGGTGTGGAAGCACACTTCTTTAACTCCAGTCCTGGGGTACAGAGACACTCTATCCTAGGCGCCTGCTGGCCAGCCAGTCTATCCAAAACATAGCTCTGGGGCCAGGGAGAGACCCTGTCTTAAAAAGCACTTGGGCACTGGATGTTGACCTCGGGCCTCCACGTGCCCATAAGGGGGGTGGGGGTAGATGAAGACAAGTGGAAGAAAAAAATTCTAAAACAAATGTTCCCTATTTAAGAATCTTACATGAGAGCAATGCATTGATTGACTATCTCCTTTATATAATACAATAACATCAACAACAACAACAATAAATGTGTCCTTTGTCCTTTGTCAGTTGATTTCCTAACTACTCTAAACTTATGAGGGTGGGTTTGTGATGCTGTTCCTAAATTAAACAGTTTCTCCCTCAACGTCTGCTTTGAACAGTTGGCAGAACATTGACATTCATCTTTTTTTAAGAAATTTTTTTATTAATTACACTTTATTTACTTTGTATCCCCCCTCTAGTTCCCTCCCTCCTCCCCTCCCAATCCCTTCCTTTCTCTCCCTTCTCCACGAATGCCTCTCCCAAAGTCTACTGGTAGGGGAGGGTTTCTTTTCCTTCCTTCTGTTCCTAGTCTATCAGGTCTCATCAGGAGTGGCTGCATTGTCTTCCTCTGTGGCCTGGTAAGGCTGCTCCCAACTCAGGGTGATGTGATCAAAGAGCAGGCCAATCAGTTCATGTCAGAGACAGTCCCTGTTCCCATTACTATGGAACCCACTTGGAGACTGAACTGTCATGGGCTACATCTGTGCTGGGGTTCTAGGTTATCTCCATGCATGCTACTTGGTTTGTGTATCAATCTCAGGGAAAACCCCTGTGCTCAGATTTTTTGGTTCTGTTGCTCTCCTTGTGGAGTTCCTGTCCTCTCCAGATCTTCCTATTTCCCACTTCTTTCCTAAGATTCCCTGCACTCTGCCCAAAGTTTGGCCATAAGTCTCAACATCTGCTTTGATAATCTGCAGGGCAGAGCCTGTCAGAGGCCCTCTGTGGCAGGCTCCTAACCAGACACACTAAACCTGTTAGAAGAAAAAGTGGGGAAGAGCCTGGAACTCATTGGCACAGAAGACAACTTCCTGAACAGAACACCAACAGCACAGGCTCTAAGAGCAACAATCAATAAATGGGACCTCATGAAACTGAAAAGCTTCTGTAAAGCAAAGGATACTGTCGTCAGAACTAAACGACAGCCTACAGATTGGGAAAGAATCTTCACCAACCCTATATCTGACAGAGGGCTAATATCCAGAATATATAAAGAAGTTAAACACCAATAAACCAAGTAATCCAATTAAAAAATGGGAAACAGAACTAAACAGAGAATTCTCAATAGAGGAATATCGAATAACATTCATCTTTTGTTAGACCAAACTGGTCAAAACATAATGAACCTTATGAAGTGAGGAAAATCAGTGTACTTAATTTTGAGAGTTTTCTTAGCAATACAAGTTCCAAAAGATGTTCTTTTATTATTCTTTTCAGTTTTTAAAATAAGCACTGGCTATGCCATACATAAACTTATACAGAGGAATCAGCAGCCCCATGTGTGTATATGCATGTGTTCACACAGACACGTTTTAAAATACTCAGGTGGTGATCATTTCCCCCATTTGGTTGGTGGAAGATGTTTCCCACATTTTCAGTTTTGTGGTGTATGTGTACTTTAAAAAGGGATCTTTTTTCCCATGGTACTTTATTTTCTTTCCCCCAGTCTTGAAGCCAGTGGTGGAGTTACTAAGTAACCCTGATTACATTAACCAAATGCTCCTTGCCCAGTTGGAGTACAGAGAGCAGATGAATGAGCACCACAAGAGAGCCTACACGTACGCGCCTTCTTATGAGGAATTCATCAAGCTCATCAACAGCAACTCTGATGTGGAGTTCCTGAAGCAGCTCAGGTACATGGCCTTCAGTTAGAGCACAATAAAGGCACCAGTCCCTTGCCTAGCTAGGCACGTATGTGTGTGTGTGTGTGTGTGTGTGTGTGTGATGGTGTGTGATTGTATGATTGTATGTAGTTGTGATGGTGTGTGTGTGATTGTATGATTGTGTTTGTGTGTATATGTGTGTGATTGTGTGATTGTATGTTTGTGTGTGTGATTGTATGATTGTGTATGTGATTGTGTCTGTGTGATTGTGTTTGTGTGAGAGAGAGTGTGTGTCTTAATTCTTTTCAGGGAAGCAGAAATAAAGGCAGTTCATAAATTTTCTCATTTAGTGACAATTGCATTTGTCCAGCTTCTCCTTCATAGTGGAATTAGAATTAATTTTTTCAAAGCATTAGGCTTTCCTGAGAATTAGGTAATAATAGCTTGAAAGCTCTACTGCTGTTCCAGAGATCTGTGTAGCTGCTCAGATGCCTGCCTGCCTGCCATAGGAAAGCATTTGAGGGAGAGGGTATGGTGTGGTTTTGTTGTGTTTTTTTTTTTTTTTTTTTTTTTTTTTGTGTGTGTTTTAAATGACAGAGTAGAACATTGTGCTGATTTTCATTTGTCTTAGAAAATGAAGGAGCTGGGGCCTGAAACAAGGGGTTCCTCACTAATTATTTTGAGAAAGCGCATTTGAAAATAGCACAGGCATCTCTTGTAAAGGAAGATACCTTTGAGATGCTTTGGGTGTGTTGATTGTTCTCATAGCATCTGCATATGCACTGTGACTGTTTGCTGTCATCTGATGAGTGGCTTTTCCGGGTTTATTTCCCACATCCCTTCTGCTTTAATGTTTCCAGAATGTAATGGGAGGGAAAGGAAACCCTGGTGGGCCAACTTCTATTTCATTAATAATTTTGGTAAATCATCAATAAAAAGGTAAAATATTGACCAAAAAATTGGATCTTGGAACTCTTCAGAGATGTTAGCTATGCATCCTTCCTTTGAGTGAGGGTTAACACTGAGGTAGCCTGTGCTGCATAATCTTCTGAGGTAGGTAACACACCACCTAATGGACATGCCGTGTTCTTACCAGCTATGTCAGGGTCAATCTTGGTCTCCCCACTATACCATGACTAATTTTATTGCCTGCCTTTGTGTATAAATAATATCTATGAGCATTTATCTTGGCATTTTATTTATGCATTTCCTCTCATACATGATATTAAATGTGCTAAATGGAACTACACACACATATCTGTCTGACTTGATGGATTCCATCTTGAGAAGTATAGCACTTGAGCTGAGAGAGAACCCAAGAGCCAGCATTCACATTTATTACCTTAAGTTTACAGGTCCAACCCACTTATAGATCCTTCTTACCATGGCTTCCTTTGAAAAAGAGCTCATAGAATCAGGTAGGGTAGCATATACTGTGATCCCAGAACTCTGGAGACTAAGGCAGGAGACTGTGAGTTAGAGGCTAGCCTGGGCAACCTCACAAGGCTCTGTATCAATAAGACAAAAAAAGAAAGCCGGCAGTCACACACTTGTCTTGCTTCTTCCTCCTGAGTCCTATCCTCGCTTTGAGCTACTTGTCTGTATACTGCGCTGCTCATACCTGTACTTATGTATCATCTGATGTGTTCAGCCTGTCTCCTTGTGTGCTGTGTGTGTTGTGATCATTCTCTATGGAATTATAATTTCTCTGTGTGATGCTGTTTAGAAGAAGATACCTTATGTTCATAAATGTAAAACTCTGAATTTTTAACCAGTTTTTCTTTTAGTAAACATTCTACCCAGAAAGTCAGGTGTAGACAGTTTGATGATGCCAAGCAAGTTTAAGATAGCAGCCTTGAGTTCCAAGAGTCAATACTCACTGTTGTTCTAGACCTGTAGATGAATTTTTATATTTTGTATATTGAAGGATTCTGGCACTGCATATTGGTGACATAGGCAAGAGTGGTAACAACTTTTCAAAGATATTTTTAAAAATCAGAACTAATTATTTCAAATGGTTAAGTATTGGTTTTCTCTCTTCTTTAAAATAACTTCTGTATGTGTTGTTTATGAGGGGGGTTACCGTGCTACGTGTGTGGAGGTCAGAGAACAGTTTTTCCTTCCACTGTTTGAAACAGGGACTCCTGTTTGCCCCTGTGTGCACCATGCTAGCCTGGGCTTATCAGCTTCTGGGGATTTCTGTGTCTCCACTTCCCATCTCACTTAGGTCTGTGGGGTCACAGATGCATTCTACCATTCTGGCTTCATGTGCAAGTGCTTTTACCCACTGAGACATGTCTCCAGTCTTGTCTTGATTCTCTAGAACTGTCTGCCAGTTTACATATGAGCACAATTTCTGTTATGAAATGAATAGTGATAAGAATTGTTAGTTCATCTTTACAGTTTTTAAAGAAACATTTATTTTATGTATATGAGTGTTTTTCTGTCATGTACAGATGCACCAAATTGTGTGTGTCGGGTACCCTCAGATGCCAGAAGAAGGCACTGGATTTGTTAGCACCGGAGTTACAGATGTTTGTGAGCCACAGTGTCAGTGCTAGGAACTGAACTCAGGTCCTTTACAAGAATTGCAAGTACTTTTAACTGAGACAACCCTCCAGTCTTATACTTTATCCCTAAAATGTAGTAGCCAAGTGGCCAGAATTGTAGAATTGCTGCTGTGTGCCATATGGGAGATGAAGCAGATGAGAAGTGATGAACAAGAAAGACAAGACATCTTCTGATCCTAGATGAGCAAGTCATAGTGAGAACTTGGCTGATGGTTTAGGCTGGCCAAAGATCACACTGTAAGTTCAGATTCTGTATTTCCCCTTTCTTTCCTCACTTGTGTGAGAACTTGAGTCTTGAAGACCACTTCCTGTTCATGTCAGCAAGATGGCAGTGCTGAAGGACAGCACACCAGGACTCCTGAGGAGTCCTGAGGAGCAGGCCCTAGGGACTCACACAGCAGAAATGCTGAACTAAAGAATGCTTGCTTTCTTCTTCCAGAAATGGTGGGATAATTCACATGCCATAAAAGTCGTCATTTTAAACTGTGTAGTTCAGTGATTCTTGTAGTGTGTCCAAGGAATGTGTAACTAATGCCTCTAATTCCAGAATATTTTTATTTGTCTGCAAGAGAAACCTTACATCCATAAGCAGCCACTTCCCCTCCTTTCCTCCTCCTAGCTCTTGGCAGCCACTAATCTACTTTCACTCTTTATAGTTTGCCTGTGCTGAGAATTTCATATAAAAGACAACATGTGTCTGGCTGCTCTGCTCAGCATAAGGCTGTCATGGTTGATCAGTGCTGAAGTATACAGCAGCACACCCTTCCCTCTTCTGGTAGAAAATGTCAGTGGATGGACATATCACATCCTACTTGCTCATTCATCGGATAGTGAACAGTTTGGGGTGTTTGACCTCTGAGCTGCCATCAAGCATCATCAGTAACACTTAAACAGCAATATCAGTGACTGTGGGTAAACTAGAGTAAGGTAAATGGATGGTCTCCCTTCCCTCCTTCTCCTCCTCCTCCTCTTCCTCTTCTTCTTTTTTAAGATTTATTTATTTATTAGATATATAGTGTTCTGCCTGCATGTATACCTGCATGCCCAAAGAGGGCACCAGATCTCACTATAGATGGTTGTGAGCTACCATGTCGTTTCTGGGACTAGAACTCAGGACCTCTGGAAGAGCAGACAGTTCTCTTAACCTCTGAGCCGTTTCTCCAGCCCCACTCCCCTCTTCTTGCCACCACATGCTCCTAGAGAATACTCACTATCAATAAGGAGCGACTGATGGAGCATGGACAGCACAGGGCCAGTCCTCCTCTGTATTCTAACTCTTCCATGTGTCGTATTCCTTTGTATCCTCCCTCTCATTCTTAGGCTTTGTATTTCCAACTGTATACAGAATTAGTAGGAAGAGAGTACTCTGGTTATCAGATAACCAAGCTCTTAAGTGTCAGTTTTAGAAGTAAAACACATTTTCAGGTTTAATTAAATTGAACTTAATGGTGGAATCTAGTTGGATTTTTTTTTTTTTTTTACATCTACCTTCTTGGAAATTTTGTTAATGTCTTCTTTTAATATGGCTAGAATGCCTCCATTGCATCTCAGCCTTTTGGCTAAGATCAAGTGTAGAATGGCTGAAAACCCTCTTATTGAAAGAGGGGAAGGGAAGAATAACGATACATAAGGGGCTGTTGGGTAAAATGCTCAGTACACAAGTGTGAAGATTGGGGTTGGATGCCCAGCACCCAAATCAAATCTGGATAGCCATGGCAGCTTTCCTGCAATCTCCAGTGGCAGCATGCAGAGCTCAGAGACAGGGAATTATTCAGCAAGCAGGCTAGCCAACTTACCCAAAATGACGAGCCCTGCGATTAGGGAGAGACACTACCTCAGTATATAAGATGGGGAGCAATTGAGAAAGAACCTGGCAGCAACCTTGGGTCTCCACGTGAGAGATGTACATGAATGCTCCCACACATATGAACGCACATATATACATATATTCATTGAATGCACGTATTGAAAATGTCTGCATGAAAATGTCACAGAGAAAACTGTTTTGTGTGATAATAAAAAATTAATTTAGAATTTTTGGGTTTTTTCCCTGAAGAGCCGTACGCAACTGGCAATATCAGCTATGGCAGCACAGCAATCCAGAAGAGTTTCCAGTCCCTTCAGCCAGCTCCGCAAACAAGCGTGGGAGAAAATACTGTGGCAGGCGTTTTCTTATTGATAGGTGCATGCATTCAGAGTTACCTTTAGAATGCCCTTGAAAATGCTCCATATCCTCAGGCAGCTTTTTCTGGCACTATGACACAGCTCTTTAGGCTTTGTCACACAGGATATCAGGCAGTCCTGTGTGTCCTGTGCTGGGGTTACTTTTATGTATGAGGAATTAAGCTTATCTTAGGAACAGAGCTAACTTTCATGCTCTGGATCTTGTCCAGTATCTGCAAAGACCCCCAGGATGGCTGTAAGCAGTGACAGCCTTCTTTGACTCAAACTGTAGGTGAT